CCGGGTCGGGGTTGGATGCGAAAGCAAAGAGAACTGGCTGGGAGCCAGGCTCCCCCGGCGGGCAGACCTGCAGCAGAAAGGCGGCTGCACAAGCGGGGCAGGAGAGGGAGATGGGCCTCCGCGCTCCATTTCCCCCGGGGAAAACGTTGGCACATTCCCAGAGCAAGCCTCAGGGGTGCCCATGCGCAGCCTTCCGCTTGCTGTCTTTTCAGGGGAAAATCCCCAGTGGGAGCCGGGGCTAAGCAGGCCGGGCCACACCTTGCCCTTTAGTTGCGCAGTGGCGGGCGTGCTGCTCCACTCCCGGAGGCAGGCGCAGGTCCCGGCAGATCGCCAGTGCTGATCAGGATGATGACTAGCATGTGAGGGCAGCAGATACTGAGGGCATGAGTACGCCCAGTGCTAACGTGGGCACCCAGGAAAATCCCCGTAGCAGCGAGGGCTGACTCCTTCTGAGGGTGGACGTAGGAACTTGCTGGCCCTCTTTGTGCTTGTGTTAGTTGTTGCAATAAAGCTGTTTCAGGAGGAAGTTTCCCAGCCTTTTCCTCAGCTGTGAGACAACAAGCGGTGTCAGCAGTGGCTGCCTCCTGCCACCCATTGGCGACTTGTAGGGGGTGCCCAAGATCGGCCGTGCACCCCGGGATGCGCCAGCCGTGAAACCCCTCCCCCGTCGGCAATCTGGTGCCCCCCCAGCCTTGGGACGCACCAGTCACCCATGCGGCCACCAGCAGGAGCTCAAACACCGGCCTGCAATCCGGCGGTTCCCAAATGCTAGACCACGCTCCAGCAGCAGCCGAGGCCCATTGAGTTGCTTATGAGTCTCCGACTCCATACAACTCTACGGACTACGACAGGTGACTTGGTCCCAAAACATGTTGACGCACAGGACTTTTGTGAGAGCGACCAACCGATTGATACGCGAGGCGTGTCTCAAGAAATGCACCTGCTCTTTCCTCCCAGCACCAAGTTTGGACTCCAGGTGCATGGGTACAAGGCACGATCCCGGCTAGGGTGGACACCTCTCCTTCCTATAGAGGTCTTCTCCATAGGAATCGAGAGCGTCTCCATCATGTCCTACCTCTTGACTGCGCTAGGTCACCCAATAGACATGATTTGTGAACCTGTCTGCTTTAAATGAAAGGCTTGTTGACGTTTTTGTTTGATTTTTCTCTTTTGGTAGGGAAGTGGTAAAGACTCGCAAGACGGTGATGTGCTTGCAACTTCTCCTCAAGAGGATTGTGAAGTTCTTTGGCAATCTTGAGAGGGAGAGATGTAGGAGTAAGGTGTGACTTCCTGAGAGCTGGCATGACAGCATCAACAGGAAGCTGTTGCTATCTTGGTGGGTGTGTGTGTTAGCTTTATTGTTGCAATAAAGCTCCTTTGAGAGCAACAAGTCCCCCTTGCCTGTGTTGTTTTTGTGCTGTGTCATAGCTCAGGAAATCACAGGTCCTGACTCGGTTCCCATGCTTCCTAGTCAATGGGCCAAGTGATCCTTACCTCAGAGAAGCGATGGGCAGGAAGACGGGCACATCAATGGGAAGGGTATTCAATACCTCTACACCGAGGGGAGGGGAGTGACCATTGCAAGCAGTGATGGAGGGCAGTGATTCTTCCCCTCGATGCAGCACTGGGGAGGCCACATCTGGAGTCCTGTGGCCAGCTGTGGGCCCCCCACTGCAGAAAGGATGTGGACATGTTGGAGAGACCAGCAGAGGGCAACAAAAATGGTTTGGGGGCTGGGGGTCATGCCTTGTGACAGAACAGGGCTTATTTGGTCTGGAGAAGACCGGAGGGACGGGGGATTTGATAGCAGCCTTCAGTTACCAGCAGGAAGGTTCGAAAGAGGATGGAGCTGGACTGGTCTCCGTGGGGGCAGATGACAGGACAAGGAGCAATGGGCTCAAGCTGCAGCAAGGGAAGTTGCGGCTGGATATTAGGAAGAACTTTCTCACGAGGAGGGTAGTAAAGTGCTGGAACAGGTTACCCGGAGCGGTTGTGCAATCTCCATCCTTGGAGGTGTTTAAGCGCGGGGTAGACAAAGCCTTGGCTGCGATGATGTAGGTGGGGCTGGTCCTGCTTGGAGCAGGGGGCTGGACTAGACATGACCTACTGAGTGCTTGTGTGAGTCCGGAACCGACCTGTGCCACGGGGGCGGCTTGCAGCATTCCCTCTGAGCCGCGCGGCGCGCCGGCAGGAGCACGCCTGGGTGACTGGGCGCGCGGCTTGCCAGTGGGTCTGTGCCTTCTCTGCTGGCTGCAGCTGCCTGACCCCATGCAGGGTTGGGAAGGGCCTGGCTTTCATCCTCGCAAAGATGTTAGGGGCTGGAAGGGACCGCGCAGATGGTGGGGTCCAGCTGCCCTTGCACTCGGGCAGGAAAGACCGCCGGGGTCACAGATGCTTTTTGGAGATGGCCAGGGTGGTGTGCCCCGGGTGCAGCAGGAGTCACCCTGGGTGCGGCAGTCACCCTTCAGCCCGGCGAGGTCCAGCTGGCCCCAAAGCCCCGCCCCCGGCCCCGCCCGCGGTCCCCTGCCAGCCCGTCGCCATGGAGACGCCGGGCGGCTGCCGATTGGCTGCGGCGGGGGTGACGCGAGGTGTCTTAGCGCGCGTGAGGGGGGAATCTGTCCTCACATCTCCCGGGACACGCGGAGCAGCATGGCGCGCCAGGAGCAGAGGTGCGGCGGCCGGGCCGGGGCGGGCGCGGGGCTCCGGCTCGGGGAGGCGGCGGGGGCAGACGCTTACATACGGGGGTGTACAGCCCGGACTCCTGGGGCCCCCCGGGCAGCCGGCGACTGTGTCCGGGGGCAGGGCCCGGCAAGGGGGGGGCTCTGCTCGGGTGCCTGCGGGGTCCCCGGGCCGGGAGGAGCAGGGCGGGCTGAGGGGAGAGCTCGACCGCCCCCCCCGCCGGCTCGGGTCCCCTTCCCGATTGTGACCTCACGGCCGGCTCTGGGCAGGCGGCCAATGAGAGCGCGCGGCGGCGCTCACACCCTCGCGTCGTAGCCAATTGGCAGCCCGCGCTGCGAAGTGGAACAAAGCCTGCGCGCCCGGCCGGCGGGTCGCTGGGCGGGGGCGGCAGGTGCCCGCGCCGGGCGGGCGGGAAAGCTGCTATTCATTAACGAGGGTGTGGCGGGGGGGGGGGGGGCCGCCGGCCTCCCCGGCTCCACGGGGCTCTGGGGTCCCCAGGAAAAGAACTTGCTGCTCGCTGTGGAGACGGGAGCCCGCGTGCGCCGCTCTGCTGCCGGCACACCTTCCCCTGCCCAGATTATGCAAAGCCAGGTGGCATGAGGAAGGTCCCTCTGCCTGCACCTCCCGCTGCGCTTGGGACCAGCCCAGCATTGTTAAGTTCCGGTCTGGCTCAACATGGAGTTAGGTGCGGGGCAAGGGTTGACTCAGCCACAGGGCAGGGATGTGAGATGCTGCATGTAGGCACGGAGCTGAGCAAGAGCGGATACGGGTCACGGCAGAGCCCGGGGCGGGGAGGGGGTTATGCATTAGGAGGGCAGGTCTCTCCCGGTGTGGGCATCTGGCAGTTGGAGGTTAATGACCTTGGCCTGCTACGTGTCTCTGCTGGGGGGAGAGGGGGGCGTCTGTCCCTGTCCCTCCCCCTGGCTATGCAATGCCCTCCTGTCCCAGGCCAGTTTGGCAAGCCGTGTCCCTTCAGTAGGGCAGTGCCCAGTGGCCCACGGTCACGCGCGGTGCCCATCCTGGTGCTTTCTGCTTTTGCCCTTCTGAGCCCCTCTCCAGTTGTGGTGGGGAACGGCCTGCGTGGCGGGGCTGCAAGTCCCCAAGAGCAGATGGTGGAGAAGAGCTAGGTCTGTGGGGCGGGGGAACCAGAAGCAGGTGCTTTGGCATAGCCACTTGGATCACTGCCCGGCGTGTTTTGACTCTTCGTTACTCCCAGGGGATGGATCAGGTGGTTCCCCTCCGGAGCAGGGTTCTCATGGTTTTACCAGCGTTTTTCCAGTGTCACTGATGGGACCCCCCTTTGTGAGAGATCCCAGCTTGGCTGCCATGTAAATCTGACCCTCTCCATGTGGTTATGGGGGAGATTTGCTCACACCCAGCCCTGGAGTTGGGGAGTGCAGCTGGGTGGAGGTGAGGGAGGTGTTGAAGGGGCTGAGGGCTTGGCCTGCTGGACTTTATCCCCAGCTAGAGGAGGGCAGTGGGGTCTAGCTAGCTAGAGTAGTGGGCTGGCTTGTGAGCCAGGATTCATCCCTATCTGTGGCAGGGCAGCATTTTCTGAGAGTGTTTCCAACTTCCCCCAGACTTTGGCACTTGTCCTGGATGGCAAGCAACTGACTGGGGAAGATGCCAGTAGCAAGAAAACTGTTCCCCTCACTTCCCCCCACCCACCCACACGCATGTGATCTTGCCCCCTGTCCTGGCGCCCGTGCCGCCATGCATTCCTAAGACACGTGTCCAGCAGCCTTGGATCAAAGTCCTTCTCTGTGACCTCGGGGACAAACGAGTCCTTTACAGAAGATGGTGCTTTTCAGTCCTACTCCCACAGGGGATCCCCCCAATGAAGTTGGCTTCATTGCCAAGTTGCGGCGTGTGCCGGCGGCTGCTCTGGGACCACGGGAGGCAGGAGCATACATCCAACTCTGTTCAGAGCTCACTTCAGAGTCTTTGCTAAGCAGGGGCAAAGTGTGGGTGGGGGATCCACGCGAGTCGCTGTTGCTTGAGGCCTGCACTGATGTCAGCATCCTAGTGCAGTGCAAGGGGCTGGCTCTAGAGAGGAGTGCTCTCCCCTGGCAGCTGGTGCTGACTGCACGGTGGCCTTCCTGCAGGGAGCAAGGTGCAAGCTCTGGTTGGGGAGGGGGTGGTGTTCTGCACTTGCAGTTAGTGCAGCGGGCTGCTGTGCTGCAGGGAGTGGAGTTGGGGGATGCATTCCCCGGATAGATGGTGGTGGCCCCAGTGCCCCAGCAGGGTGCCCCCCTCCTGGCTCAATTCTCGTTGGACTGATCCAGCCTCAGGACTTAATCACAGCAAATCTAATTTTCTGCCTTTTCCTGCAAGCATGAGGGTCATGTGGCTTTTTAACCCAGCTAATTACTTGGACTCGCCCAAGCACAAGGCTTATTGGACTGTGGGCCAGATTCCCAGCTGGAGGCTTGGCCAGAGCTAAGCTGAAGCTGCTTTACACCCACCCAGGAACAGGGCAGAATGTTTTTTCCCCTGGTGGAAGTTTCCATTGAGTTTTGGATGCGTCCATCTCAGGATGTCCTTGCTGTGTAACCTCAGCTGAGAGCAGTTAATGATGGATATGGGTGGAAAAACCCAAGAAGGCAAATATTGTTTGGGTTGCATGTGCTTCCTATTACATTAGTAATTATGGTTTGCTTTACACATCTCAAGTTCCTGTCACATGATTGGCCCCAGGCAAGTTGCAGCAGGATTGCTGCTGTAAATCTCCTTCCCCAAACTATTGGGTAATTGGATTACCGAATGTCAGCCTGGTTTCATCCTAAAGGTGGTTTGTTGCTGCTTGTGTATGGGAGGAAGTGATGTATTGGAAAAGGTGTCTGTCTCCGCAGCCAGGGGTGAGGGTGGCTTCTCAGGAGAATGGGAATGAGACATAACGCAAGAGAGCTCCTGGGAGAGACTTTGCATCTGCGTAGGAGTGAGACGGAGGCAGGACAGTTTGTGGTGGCTGCTTTACCTGCCGGTGTTTTGTCTTCAAGGTACACCTACGAGCAGTACAAGGAGACAGCTGAATGGCTCCAGGCCAACACCAAATTGCGGCCTCGCGTGGCTGTTATCTGTGGTTCAGGCCTCGGGGGCCTGGCTGGTCTCCTGAAGGATCAAGTGGTGATCAAGTACACGGACATCCCCAACTTCCCCCAGAGCACAGGTACTTGGGATGAAGGGGCAGCTGGACTGTGTAATGAGTGTGAGAGGGCAGGAGAAGATGAGATGGGGAAGGGGAGGCTGTGCTGGACAGTGGGAAATCAAGCTGGGTTTAACTGTTTGCTGTCTCTCTCCAGTCCTAGGTCATGCAGGAAAGCTAGTCTTTGGGACTTTGTCTGGGACGCCCTGCGTGGTGATGCAGGGTCGCTTCCATATGTACGAGGGATATCCCCTGTGGAAGGTGAGTGGCTGCCTCTGGCAGACATGGTGTGGAGGGGAGGACCCTGGACTGGCAGAAGGCTGTGTGGCCTGAGAAGGAGGGCCACTGGAAGAGTTTGGGGCAGGAGAGAGAAAGCTCAAGCTTTACTAGAACTGCTTGTTTCACATGAGGGGGCACCCGATCCTTCTCACCCCCCACCTTTCTTCCAGGTGACGTTCCCGGTACGGATCTTCCACTTGCTGGGGGTGGAGACACTAATTGTCACCAATGCAGCTGGTGGCCTCAACCCAGAATATAATGTGGGGGACATCATGATCATCCTTGACCACATTAACATGCCAGGCTTGGCTGGGATCAACCCCCTGGTGGGGCCCAATGAGGAAAGGTAAGAGCCATTGCCCCGGCACCTGAGGATCAGCCAGTACTCCCAGGCACCCCAGTCTTTCCCCCGCCTCCTTTACTTCCTGTCTCCATGGTGATCAGCACCCCAGAGTCTTACTCCCAACATGTCCTGGGGCTCAGGTGTCCAGGCCAAACTACAGCTTAGACATATATAGAGATAAAGATATCTCTCCTTAGAGGAGACTACAGATCCTCTATTTCTAGCTCTATATATCTCAACAGAAGACATCTATTACTTCCAAAACCCCCAGCCTGTGTTTCTGGTAGCCTGGTGGGCCAAGTCCCGTGCTGGTATATAAGAAAAACTAGAGTTCAATCCCTGATAAGGGAAAAGTGTGTCTTTTGGTGGGAAGACTAGTGTCTTTCTTTATCTTGACTGTCACAAGACCTCATTCAGAGGCACTGAGTCAAGAGGCGCAGCCGACAGCTTCTCATTCAGGTGAGCTTGTCAGCCTGGTGGGGAGAGGGCTGGTCCAGAGACTTGGTGTCATGAGCCCAAATCCTGGGCAAGTTCTTTACTCCTGGGACCCCCTGACTCTTTCCTTGCTGTGGCCAGAGGCGCCGAGTCAAGAGGCGCAGCTGACAGGCCCCTGTTAGGAGAGCTTGCTGGCCTAGTGGGTAAGGCCCTGGCTGGAGATACTGATGGCATGGGTTCTCCTCCTG